GAAGCATTGCTGCATGCTAAAATTGTTACCCTTTCTTTGCTACGTTTGTAACCAGGAGCTGATGTTTCTTGACGTGATGCTAGGGTTTTGGCTGGCAAAAGTTTGTAATTTAGGCCAGTCTCATCACAGTTAAAAATTTGATCTGGGCTGTATCCATCGTTGTTTATTTTTTGTTGAATTTTTTCTTTAAATGTTATCACGGCAGAGCTGTCTGCAGATAGCTTCTCACCACAAATATTGAGCTGACGTATATCATGCCTCTTTTTCCATCTATCGAGCCAGCCTTGGCTTGCTGTGAATTGTTTCGTTTCCTCCGGGAAAAGAGTGCGCAGTGATAATGCTTTCGCTTGTAGAATTGGTCCAGAGATCGGAGCTCCCTTATCACGCTGTTGTGTAAACCATAAAAATAACGCATCTCCCAATTTTTCATAGTCACTTGATTTCATGGATTTTCGTTCAATTAGCGATGATGTCCCGGTTGATGATGTTTTCTCCTTCCACTGCTCTAGTTTATTGCGGTTTCGCTTCCAATCACCAACTGTGTTTTCTCCAACTCCTAATTCAGATGCTAGTTTCTTCAATGATTCACCTTTACGTATTCTCTCTAGTGCCTCCAACTTTTTTTGAAGAGAAATAACGACTCTTTTGCGTTTTGGCGTCGACATTGTACGAAGTTGTCGTCGTCGTGAGTTGGGTATCAAAAATGTGCGATTCACACGTCTGAACGCTACGCGCGCAACGACTCGACTGAAGAGAGGTGAGTGAGACGTGCGCGGGAGGCGCGGCGCGCACACACTGTTGCTAAGCAAGTTGTTTACGTAGTAACAAGCAAGCTCGGTTAATCGCGACCTCGGTTAAAGCGAACTCGGATAATCGTGGTCCTACTGTAATTCCCAATATCTTTGCAGTGTGATACATTGCTCTACATTATAAGCTTATTCGTGTTGTAGGTATTTGAAAATAGTACATTATATTATTCACTTAATTCTGATCCGAATTTTTGTTCTACAAGGAAGAAAATAGATGTTTAAAGTAAAATCATACAGTTTTAAAATGCACATAAGTGGGATGCAAACACTTTAACATTCATATTGGGATCTACAGAACAATAGGTGTATAATAACAGTAAGCATAGTACAAAAAGCAATAACATATTGATGACTTTTTTGTATTAAAAACCAAGTTTGCAAATTACAAGGGATTTTGTTAAAATAAACAATTTTTAACTTTATTATGCTTATAGTCCAGACGGTATCTGTTTCAAAAAGCCATATTTGGGTGAATCGTATATCCACGGAGATTTTTAGCTTTTTGGCATTCAAATATCACTAGAAATTAAATTTTTTCTATGCGCATAAATAAAACATGGGCTTATCTTTTGGCGGCAAAATATGTTAAAAAAATTCGAAAAATGTCAAATTTTTCTTCCTATTTAATTATGTATCTTTTCAAGAGTTGATTTTAGGCGAAAATGGAACAGGAAAAAATTTTTGTAATTAATTTTTTTACAAAACATAACTAGTTACAAATCGGATGAATCATGATTATTATGGCAAAAATCGAAAAAATCGCAAAAATGGGATTAAAAACCAATACTTTTTAGGGAATTTTTTGGGGTATTTAAATTGGGTATAGGACCTTTATACTTGACTCAAGAAAACTTTATGTTATGTAGAATCATCACACCAAATTTCATCAACATCGGACCTCTAGAAGGTGAGATATTAAAAATAATATCGCATAATAAGCGCATCGCGGTTTTGAACTCACCGATACAATTTCGAGCAGGCCGAAGCGGCCGCGCTCTCTGCTTCCACCGCCACCACCACCCGTATGATTTTCTTGAATTTCTCGCTTGCATAAATAACTTTAAACACGTTTTAAAGTAGGTTGCCAATGAAGAAAAGTATTGTAATCTTAGACCTGGTAAGTACACGGAATACCAAAGGTATTTTTCGAAAAATTAGCCCGGATGTCCCAGTACATTTATTGTAAAAGACGATAATTGAGCAATCGATCTATTTTTTTTAAATGAAGCGTCTTTCCAAGAACTTTTAAAACCTGCTTCAAAAAATTTTATTAGATTGAATATTCACAAAGTTATTCTAATTTTTTATAAGTACACAAATTCGAACAATGTTTAAACAAGCGCCAGAGCTCTCCTAATCGACAGATTCGAATTTTTCAAAAAATGTTTGAAAGCATAAGAGCCCTTCCATATGTGATCAAATTTTCAAGTATCTAAGGGCCTTGGTTTTTGCTGTGCAAAATTTCGAAAATTTGCACATTTTTTTTTCAAAATTCAATTAAAAAAATTTGATGAAATTTACATAACATGAAGCTTTCTTGAGCCAAGTATAAAGGTCCTATAAGTACCCAATTTAAATACCCCAAAAAAATTCCCTAAAAAGTATTGTTTTTTAGCCCCATTTTTGTGATTTTTTCGATTTTTTCGATTTTAACCATAATAATCATGATTCATTCGATTTGTAACTAGTCATATTTTGTAAAAAAATTAATTACAAACATTTTTTTCCTCTTCCATTTTCTCCTAAAATCAACTTTTGAAAAGATACATAATTAAATAGGAAGAAAAATATGACATTTTTCGAATTTTTTTAACATATTGTGCCGCCAAAAGTTAAGCCCACGTTATTTTATGCGCATAGAAAAATTTTTATTTCTAGTGATATTTGAAAGCCAAAAACCCAAAAATCTCCATGAATTAGGATTCACCCAAATCAAAACAGATACCGCCTAGTCTATTAATGCTGTAATAACTTTCAATATTGTCTTTGAAATAACAAAGAAGACACAATGCTACTGTATACGGCCATTAAGTTAACTTTTTCACTTCAAATTA